GACTCCAATAACCTCAACAGTCTGTGCATGATTTCGTGCAATTCATTTCTGCTAAAGTGCTCAATAATTTGCTACTACTCTTAAAAGATAAATATAGTATTTGCTCTTTCCTAATTAGGCCCGTTTTAATTTTCAGCCCACTGAGACGGCAACGGTGACACATCCTTTGCAGGGAAAGTGTTTGTACATTTCTCTGTGGTATAGCGTAGCATTTGGTGCTCGCTCTAATCCAAAACACCAGAGAGATGGGACAGATTTCTGACACGGGTGGCCCCGATGGATCAGGGCGAGATGGGGATTTAGTGGAAAGAAGTCTGCATGTAGACTGGAGGACGCGAGGCATCTCGACAGGAGTGCACAGTCAGGTGACAAATGGTGCCCCAGGCCAGGCGAGCGCCAGAAATGGCCTCTTAATCAATCAGGGGTCAGCGTGTAGGCTCAGTCCAGACTGTCTCCACAGTCAGAGGCAGCCATCTGACAGAACACTTAATGCCAAGCCAAGAAGCAGGAGCTTTTACTCTAGCCAGTGTGGAACCATTAAGGATGTTTTTTTGTTTGTTTTTTTTTTGTTTTTTGTCTTTCTGTTTTTCCCCTTTTTAGATTAAATTCTGTGACTTTTCTAATCGGTCGGCGTGTTGTGATATGTTTCAAATGTATTCTCTGTAGCTGTTTAGTCAGCTGACGAAAGTTCGATCGCGGTTAAGCTCAGCCCCGAACCTTGACTCGAAGCCATCTGGACGAGCTATGAAGTCAGTAAATATCGGAGTGGAGGGTAGCACACCTCTCTCTCTTGTACAGGCATCTTAAGGCCAAGCCCCACACATTCTGCTCTGCAACCCTGGGCCAACCCACTCACACCCCCTGGGGTCGACCGACACACTGTGGGGTCCCAGAGGGAGCTTATCAGAACAGAGGGAGTAGCACAGGCCTTCTGTCTTCTGTCCACCCCTCCACCCTCCGTGCACATAACTCTACTTTCCCACCATCTATCTCTCCCATCTCCCAATATCAACTCATTCATCTGTCCACTCTCGCTATCTGTGTGAGCCTCCCCAGCTTTAAGGACCTTTGTGGTTCACCCATCTGTTTCACCTTTATTGCTGCCATGTTTGTATTTGTGTCGCCGTTCAATCATCACGTCTCCGCTCGCTCAGGAGATCGCTTCGACTTCTTAAATAAGAGATTTTAGCAAGTCGAATTAGCACAGACAGTTTGTCTACTGCAAACCCGTGGACGCGTTTTATTGTGTTGCCACCACAGATTTTAATTTTATTGAGATTTTATGGAGTAGTCCAATAAAAGTAGTTGGTTGAAAAAAAAAAGAAGGATGAATGGTTTTTAAACTTTTTCTTTTTTTTTTTACAAAGCATGTCTATTCAAAAATTTGTTTGCCTGTTTGTCTTACCAAAACATTCCAAGTTCAGTCAGATTTGATGGAGACTCGTCACTAATCATTAATTCTTAAGTTTCACCACAGATTCTCAAATGAATTCAGTTCTGGGCTTTGACTGGGCCACTTGAACTCATGAATACTCTTTATGACTCTATAGGAGACTGAACATCCACCGTCTCATTGCTTTGCAGCCCTAATTTGGTGACCAACTTTCCTGTTTTCTACAGAAGTAAACTCCTTCAGCGTGCTGCTGTCATCGACATGATCCACCATGTGTTCCTGGAGATAAGTTAGTTTTCCACCAAAAAACTTCAGTTCAAGTTTTTATTTGGCGACAGCCCTGCTTTGTTGGCTTTTACCACGCTACTCTTGGCAAACCACAAATGAGATTTATTTTGATTTTCCCTCAACCACATCAGTCAGACATGTGGAGTGAAAGACTAATAGCTGCAGATTGAGCTGTGCATCTCTGCAGCTTCTCTACAGTGACCATGAGCATCACTAATTATGCAAGATGCAAGCCAAAATCTTTACAGTAGCGCAAAAACAACAACAACAACAAAAAAACACCAGGTATCAATTTGCAAGTATTTCAAAAATGATGCCACACTTTGAGTGGGTCGTATAAAATTCATACATAAATACACAGAGCACTTTTACAAGGTACTAAATGTGAAATGTTTATCTGTGTAAAAACTGGTTTGTCTGAAAATGCGGCTCTTCGGTATTTAGAGTAAGACAGAAACGGATACTCCAGCAAATGAAATTCTATCACATTGTCATTGCATAACCAATTAAATGGTCAATTCCCCACAATACAAAGGCCAATCAATAAGCCAATCATTGCACACCCACGGATCCAGATATTTATTCATCCATTTTGACAGATAAGACCTCCCTCTGCTAGACACATTGATTTATCTATGCGATATATCCTCTCCTACGTTGAGTCTCATGCTGATTCAGTCCCCACAGGAAACCGGGACGGCGCGCAGACGTAACCAGGACTGACAGCGACACCGGAATGATTAGATGGTGCAGAGAAAGACAATAAGACGCTGATTGAAAGTCACATAAACAACAAAAGAAAGCGCATCAGCTGAGATAACCTCAGCGAGATCAGACGGTGTTTGAGAACAACAGCGTGTGGCACCTTAGGAGAAGAAAGGGTTTGCAGGAGAACAGACAGAATATTGTGGAAGACTCAAAAAGAGAGGAAGAGGGTGGAGCAAGCCCGGGCAAAAAAACATGCCAAACCAGGATCAGCAAGTATTGAGATGCAGATCTGAGTATTGGAGCAAATAATGGGGGCTGTCAGGAGCATGTGTGCCGGTGGGTGAGGAAGTTTAGTGAGGGTGGATTCTCACGCATCTGCTAACCTGATTCTCTAAGTCGGTGCAAATGGACTTCCTTTGTCTGGCCTTGCAGACCTGACTGGAACGACCCGTCACTTGTCGGGGGCCGTTTCAGATTCGCATGCAAACGAGAAGATGCTCGCACTGATACGTTAATGTTTACATGCACACACACACACACACAAATGCAGAAGACGTGTGTGTAAAAGCTGGCTACGAAAAGAGGCTGATTAAAGGGATAGTTCAGGTTTTTAAATAAGTTATCCCACTGCAGCAGACAAACACGCTTGATAGCTTAATTTAGGATAAATCCAGAGTCGCCGTTGATTCTAGTGGCTAGCAGCTACTTGGATTAAGTGGGCCTAAGTGGACTTTTACCATGTGAGCAATGTTTCAACATTAAAAACATAATTTGTGTACACTGTTTTGTGAGCCCTTAAAACTGTTACGTTACCACTGAGCGCTTATTTAGAGAGAAGCAGACGATTATTTACATGGGTAATTGTGGTAGGAGGCATTGTGCCACCATTTATCTTCCTCTGTGAAACGCAAACAAAGAACCAAATGTGCAAAAACACTTTCTGCCAGACTGTCCAGGAAAACAAGGCATTTTCACAATTCAAAAAGATACAATTTCTTTTAACTGATCAAATATTTCAGGTCCCCCCACCCCAACATTTCTCTTTTCGTGAGAGATTTCCTCTCAATGGAAACGTTGTGTAGCTGTCACACAGACTGCGGTTAAATACATCAGATATGTATCTGGTTTAAGGTCAAGCATGTAGGCTGGGCTTGGATTACAAGAACAATTTGTGATCCTCAAACTATTGGGGAAAAAAAAAATCTTATTTAGGTTAAAATTGGTCTAAAAAGTCAGAGTTTGGGTATTTTCGCATAGAGTGTGAACGGAGCTCAAGATCATATGCATCCAACTGGATCCTGGCCTGTTAACTTTGGCTTCCAAGTCCAGCTAATGCTAATCTGAATTTATAACAAATGAAAACGACAAATAAGTTACTTACTGCAGGTAACATATTAACTACTTCTAACCTTTTCACATAACCTCGCTTGAGAAACCATGAACTATCTCACTTTTGCAGCGAGCCTTGGAGAATCACAAGCGGTTACTCGTGTGCATGTAAACATCTGGATCGGTGTGAATATCTTCTGATTTGCATTGGCACCTAAAGCGGTCAAGAGAGACGTCTCGACTGATAAGATGTGGCCTACTTATAACCTTAAAACAGAAATTCAAGCTCTCGTTTACGACGGCTCTTATTTTGTGAGACTGAATGTGTCTGTTGCTTTCCGTCTATATTAAAACAATGCAGAGGGGGGAAAAAAGGGAAAGAATTCATATATAAAAGTAATTCTGGTAAAACTTCAAATTTCATTTCAATGAGCTAAGTGATTCAGTCACTACTGTCGTTTTAAAAAACATAGTTGTCAAGAAAAAGAAGAAGAAGAAGGAAATTTCGGATAAATCTTTTTTTTTTAAACCCAAACAGGTCCTAAGCTGTTTAACTGACTTGACACAACTCAGCTGAAATGATTTTAAATGGGATCCCTTCTCTTTTTGAGGGGGGGAGGGGGTGGGGTTTAGTATTGGGAAGTTGGAGGAGGAGGGGGAGCAATATAGGGTCACAAGCAGAACTGAAAAAAAAAGGGGGGGGGGGGGAAATTTTTCCTTTCTCTCCAAGGCTTTAGGAAAGAAAGGGAAGGAAACCAGAGTAAAACAGAGTGAGAGAGAGAGAGAGAGAGAGAGAGAGAGAGAGAGAAGCCCTAACCAACCGAGGCGAGATGGATGACTGTCGGGGGGGGAGGGACTGGAGCAAGAGCGCTGCTTATTGGTAGGCTGCGGTCCTCGCAGTGGATGGATTGACTTTGCTCGGGTCGAATTACACCATTTGCCGTGCATTAGTTTGTTTTTCTCCCAGCCAGGAGAAGTTGATTCACTACGACGCGCACGAGAGATTTTCTGTTCTCTGGATTACCAAAAGCGGCGCGTAAAAAGGATACATATATACATATATATAAATATACATATAAGCCGTTTCAGATGAGGTGAGTCCCTTGCAGATGATACGTGGATGTACTTTTTTGTTGCGCCACAAACTGTACGGTGAAAGTCGAAGAGGGAGGAAAACTAGAGAGAAGTCTTTTCATAGGAAAACAAATATATTCCCTCTGAAAGGGGCGCTGTGCTGATCTGTAAAAAAAAAAAAAAAAAGAGAGAGAGAAAAAAAAACTGAGAGGAATAGTTGGACCCTGGACTGTTTTTATTTCAAGCCAGAGTCCGCTCGTTATTTATTTCTAGGTGACAAAATGAATCTGCTCAGCTCGGACGCTTCTTCCCACTGGGTGTTGGAGAAAGATGGGACCACGTTTGAATTGTTTACCCTGATATGTGCTCGCAACTTTTAATAAGACAGCTAAATAAGTGAAAGCGGTTGGTGCAGACATGCAACTTGGATTGCTTTATATAAACAGACAAAGTGATTAGTTTGCGATAAACGTCGGTGGAGGGGAGCTGCTCCTGCGCGCTGCTCTTTCCAAATTGATTCGTGCAAATAAAGTCAGAAAGCTGGATAGTAAGGAGACCATCGTTCCTGTGTATGCCCTTCCTTACTGGTTTCCAAAGTTAATAGTAGTGGAAGGGGCTGGTGTATTGGTGTACGGAGAGGGAGAGAGACACACAACACACAGAGAGAGAGGGAGAGGGAGGGGATGGTGGTATAGTGGGGGCTGTGTGGTCGTGGCAGAGCTTTGAAGATCACTCATCAGAGCGCAAGGGGGGCCCGGGGAACGGAGACCGAGCCCGAGTGAGAGTCAGAATGCTCCTGCGTGCGGAGAGCGGAGCTGGAAAATCACAGAGCGCATCTGGATGAAGGAGGGACAAAACAGAAAAGAAAAAAAAAGTGGGGTTCCGGATGGAGCTTAAAACAACAGGAATATCACAGGCTGGGCTTTTCCTCGCATATGGATTATCAAAGGATTATAACGTTCAGTCGGAATATCTCATTCATGCGTGAATTTGGCTGCTCAAGGTAGGTGACATGTGGGATTTTCTTAAGGATAAACTGTCTAATTTCCTGCGTTCTGAGACCGAAGCTGTGTGCGATCATCAAGGCGCACCTTAAATTTCAACCTGGTCGGTTTACTGCTCTCTTTGTTTTATATCCAAAAAGCTCATCAATGGCTGGAATGTCCATGAAATTAAAGTATTTCTCGTTGATGACTGACTGTGGAAAAAGGGCGACATCCCGTTGGAGCTGTGCGTAAAATTCGTATATTCCAACGTTTATTTTTATTTTTTACAAACATCCATATTTGCTGTTACTAGAATGAATCAAACTGCTGATGAATTGTTGAGTAAAATTATGAAAGTGTTTTCTCTTATTTGTATGTCTTAAAATCAACTTCTGGTGGCGGTGCACATGACTGGAGGGGTTGGTAAAGAGTGGGCTGTTAAACAATAAGAGGAGATAGATGGGCGGACAGTTACCAGGAAGGTGGTTCCTTTTCTGATGCCTCTGCTATTTTTAAAGCATCCTAGTTTTTTTTTTTTTTTTTCAAAGCCATCTTGACGTTGAATAGTAAACAGCAGAAGCGCTGCTAACCTTTCTGCAGGCAGAGAGGGGGCATGGAAGCCCAGCTCTGGGTATGGATAAAGCGCAATGGAGGCAGTTTAAAAAAAAAAAACGCAGCCCCATCACCGTTGTCCCCCCGAGTCTTTGTTGTTCTTTTGTATGAGTCCTACATGTGGACTAAAAGGGCTATGAAAGGATTTACCATGGACAAAACTCGAATGCCTTCATGCTACGGTCTGCACAATGCATGCATTAGAGCAGGGGCTGGAGCGTGGACTCTGTAGTCAGGACAGGGGTGAAACATCCTCATGCAAAGTTGGAACATTTGGAGTGAAAGAAGTAGTATGCGGATTGGGATTTCAGGGAGAGTTCTGGAGTAATTCCACAATCTGCTGTGGTAGAGAAAGTGGGCAAATTTGATGAAAAAAAAAGCAACAGGAGGTGCTTGTGTTGTTTTTCTTCACATAATTTTATTTATTCTTTAACAAATGCACACAGCTACTCCTAAACTAACTTGATGTTTCTTTCTTTTTCCCAATGAATGCTTAAGCCTGATGATAGTTGACTCATGATCTAAATGCTGGTTCCATATTTGCCAAATAATCTCGCACTCCCCTTTAGTAATACATCTAAATCCCCCAAAAGTCTAAAGGACCTGAACTCCTGCCACAGAGATCACAGAGCTTAACTCATGCTGTAATTACAAACTGCATGTAGTGGAGGAACACCACACCATGGGCCAGATGAAACATCAGAACAAGCCCTGATTTTTTACTTTTATTTTTATTTTTTTCCACCTTTTCCGGACAGCAAAGCTGGTCTGTGTGTCCCGCTTTCGCCTGGCTGGACACAGGGTCAGAGCTCGGTGACCAGAACGACCACCGTTAACCTCCTCTACAGCCGGCCGTAACCCCGGAACAGCCGCCATTAAACCATACAGTGACCACTTTTTACCCCTTTATGGTTTCCCCAAAATGCTGATCGCTGATTGCTTGGGCTAAATAGACAGAGTGGTAAAAACTTGACCATGTGTGCAACATTTGGCTCCAGTTGGTTCGTTTAGTGATCAGAAACATCCAATAAACATGGATCCACAGGCCGGGAGGGGGTGGGGGGATGCGGTTCCATTGTGTTGTATTGCCCAAAGCCCCCTTTTGTTTCTTCGTCGCACCTGCAACGTAAGGCTTTTGTGCAGAACCACCGCTGAGAGCAGCCTTTTCTCCTGTTTCACTCCCCTGCTCGTCGAGCTGCGGAGGAAAAGTTTGGAAGCATGCGTTCAAGGAAGCAGAAAACTTCTCTTTATGCCAGATCTCTGAAGCAACAAGTCCGACCAAGCCCGTCAGACGTCATCCTGGCATAAGTAGCTGGCAGTTAGGAGTGCTATGCTTATTATTGAAGTGGGAAGGGAACAGATTTCATTTCTGTGTGTGTTTGGTAGCTGCTCTAATCATCTGGCAGACTCAGCCTTCCAGTGGAGCTGCATCTGGATTAATTTCACCGAGCCAAGTAGGAGAGCACCAAAAACCGCGTTACACCATGTACGCAGCTTTAGGCCTGAAAGTCACGCATGCTTGCATGTGTTTTTAAACATGCACAGGGCAGAGAAATGCCTGAAACCCCACTCCTCAGTTATCCGACTTCCTGCGTTAGGTTCACAGCTTGCGTTGTGCGAGATGACAAGTCGAGGAGCCCCCCCGAGCAGCAGCCATTGTTCCGCCGGGATTTACATCCACGCCGCAAGTTCACACACAATTTAGGAAATCTCATGCACTGCTGTTTGCCACTCTTTCTTACGATCCCCAATTCCTCCAAGAAGGACCCCCTTGAAAAAAAAAAAAAAAAAAAAAAAAAAAAAACAATTTCCATCCAGTGTCACAATGGAGGTGAGGTTACATGTGCCAGTAAAAACACAGCTAAGAGGAGGATAAGTGTTAATCTGTCGCGTTAAGCTTGGAACATTAAAGCTTGGAGCTGCAACCACCATAACTGGGCTAGAGACCCAAGTCACCCACTGTCAGTCGGAACAGAAATCCAGCAGATCCCTTCCCCCCTCTCTGGTTCCCCCTGCCCATGTATAACACCGTGGACCGGAGCCAGCGGCGTCGGCAGTGAAAGTGCCTGGTTGTAGGACACTGAAAAGCCTGTAATAACAGAGGCAGAGCGAGGCAGTGCTGAATGGCACTGAGTTGCGTGACAAGCCGAGCGTCTCCAGACTTGTTGAGGCGTTGTGTGTGCACGCACGCACGCACCTACGTGCACACAGCCCCGTGCACACACTGGAGGGGAGGAACCAGAGAGCGCGGAGGCAACTGAAAACAAAACTGGGCCTCATAAGAGAATAAGAAGTAATTTTAGATCGCTGACCTTACACTAAAGTTTCTATAGAAAGCTCCTTCAGAGCTCGGTGGCGGTAGCCGTGCAAGGAAGATTATATCCGAGTGTCACCCTGGAGTGTTTTCCTCCTGGATTGTTTAGTAAAAAAAAAAAAAAAAACTGGAATGTTTGTGACAAGTGAAGAAATGATCTACCTGCGAACACCGCCAAGTTTGGGATATGTGTACAGCCTGCAGCTTTCATGAAAGCACCATAAAGTAGAACTGCACAGCTCAGTTTATTTACTTTTCATAGCTCTCCTGCTACCCCCCCCCACTGTTGAGCATTTGGTATCTATTCCTGTCCCAAGCTTCTCTTCGAAACTCAGCAGTTTATTGGACGAGATTTTAAAATAGCACAATTCTCAGTGCAAGAGTGCATCCAAAGAAGGTGGTTAAAAAAAAAAAGAATGGATGTGATGCTTTTAAGGAACACCAGCAGGCTTTTTTTTTTTTTTTTTTTAACAGAGCAGCAACATCGCTTCTCCTTCTGATTAAGATCCTAACAGGTGCTCAGCCTAGATCTCTGTGAAAATAACCCTCTGGTCCCAGAAATCTTTCAATTTCTGCTGAGACATCAAACCCCTAATTTAACTATTATGTGGACTGATGAAGCTTAAGCATCATCTCGTACAGGCATTACATTACTCGGAGTTAATGACACTGCTCTTTCAAAGGCCTCAGTATCCCACAGAGCGCTGAATAGCCATGATTACACACTGCTCATGACTAAAACACATGGGCTTTACTCTGATTCCAGCTAACAACCCTTCCCTTTGATCAGCGAGCAGTAACTGTTTAGATCAACACAGGATTAGGGTGAAAAAAAAGCAGCATGTTTTATATCAACGTGTTAGCATAAAGGCCGTCTTTATGCATTCTGCACGCTCAGATGATGCTCCTTCTCTGACTTTACAGTCTAAATTGGCACCTGACAACCATGTATGTGCTGTAGGTTTTTCCAATACCTGAAGAATTACTCTGGCCGCGCCGGCATCAAATATGTGATTCTGTTTGACAAGTTGAACCAATCACATTTCGGTTTACAATGTCTTCACATTGCTACAGTGATTAGGGTGAGGGCTATAGATTAGTCTTTTCTGGCCGCTGATCAGCCATGTTTCCTGTGTGGATCAATCAAAGCGCTAATGGCTTGGCAGGGCCGCGCACACAGACAGCACTGGAGCAGGTGTGCTTTGGGGCTAATTGAAAAATGAGTCAATACGTTCTCTGTGTGTGTGTGTGGGTTCCTATTTGTGCATCCAACACAGCCCTTGCATTCTAGCATTTGAAAGTGCGATTGTGCATGCGAGGCCTCGTGTATGCGTCTGGGTATCTCAGTGTGCTCCAAGCTAATCCATCCCCTGCCTGTGTGACGTCTCTCAGTAAATTGTTTATATCCGCTCAGGCTTTACCTCCATGAATAATTTGTTTGCCTTATAAATATTTGAATGTACACCAGTCATTAATATGCACAGACACAGTCTGTCCCTAAAGTACTCCTTCACATGCCGACTTACACATTAAACCCCCCGCCACGCCCACAATAAATTATTGCCACTGCAGCCGTCGGCATATCATATCTCCAATCAGACACTGTGCAAACCATTATCTCCTAAAATTACAACCGTGTCAAAACAACTGTACACATGTCGCAGTGCAGACGCAAAGTGAGGGAATCACTGCGCTGCGATAAAAAATAGAGCAGGCCAGCTCCACGGAAAGGCCGGAGTGACACCTGACAGCAGAGCTCTGATAAAACTCTGCTAAGGTCAGAGCAGAGGCTGCGCTACCAGCGGTGATGAAGCGCCAATGCGCTGATTAGTGCTGGGCCTGGCCAAGTAAAACCAATCAGAGCACAGATGTACGGCGACAGCAGGCGTCCCTCGCAGGGGTGGACTTCCGCCGTCTCCAAACACACACCGAGAAGCCCCCGCCACTCTATTTGGCTGACCTTCCTTTTAGAGAGCAGATGCAGCCGAGAGGTTGGGGGAGGAAAGTGGCCAAGCCTCGCCATTGACAGCCCAGTCATCAATAAATCAGAGGCAACGTTAAGTGTGCATCATTACGTCACAGTTGAATTTTTTTTTTTTTTTTTTTTTTATAAATACATTCGCTTGCTTTTCACACGCATCTCGTACGACCGGAGTTGACGTCACCGTTGAGCCGTAGCACGAAATCCATCAACATCCAAGGAAACAACAAGCCTGCATTTTTCTCCATGTCTCCAGGTAACATCTCCAGCAGTGTGCAACAGGAAGCGTCGTCCGTGAGCAGCCATGGGCCAGGGAGCTGCACTTCTGCTCAGCAAGCTTCTGCTGTTGCTGGCAGCCTCACGCACTCTCCTCGCAGTCAGCTTCCCGGAGGACATCGTGCCCCTCGACGTCGTTGACGCGCACTGTGAGTGGACAAACACGCACAAAACACTCTCCCACCCCATCCCCCCCAGCCTCTCATTTCATTTACTACACCGAATTAACACAAAACGCACAGAGTCCCATCCATTTCGCCGTGTCAGCAGTTCACACTCCACGGCGCCACATTCATAAAATCACTCTGTTGCACGGCCAGTGGTAGCGTTGGGAAGATTTCATTTCCATTTCCGCTACGCACTGGAACAACGGAGCAAAAAATCGCTGACATAAGCAGCCTCCACCTAACACAGGAAACTAATGACATACAAGGTTTGATTGTTGAGAACGTACACAACAGTGCAATGGTGATTTGCAGTGTGTCTTAAGAACAAGCCTGTGTATCAACTTTATTTTAATCAGAGCAGTCACGTTAACGTATGAGTGTGATTTCTCTGCAGTTACTCGGAGGTACCCTGTGTTCAGAGGCAGGCCCTCTGTCAACGACTCCCAGCATCGCCTCGACTTTCAGCTGATGACCAAAATACAGGACACGCTATTTATCGCTGGCAGGTATATTTAACACACACACACACACACACAAACACACACACACACGTTTGCCATCTCGTTCTGTCGTCTTTCCCTTTCTCACATCCCCCCACATCAATATACTCAGTCACTGCTTGGCACGTAAACACAAGCATACGGGTGAAAAAGCTCTTAGTGTTATTGGATCTGTGGCTTCCAGCCCTGCATCTGATGTATGTGGCTGGTATTGATTCAGTGAAGGCGTCCATCACGCCCGCCTGACGTGCTTTCAGGGGGGGGTTTCTTGGCATCCTTACATGTCTTTTTTTTTTTTGTATTTATGGCCAGCGGAATTAATGTGACTCCTAGCACTAATATTGCTGCTCGAAATTGCTTTGACATCAACAATATGAAAAGTCTCTCTAAAGTCCCTGCAGCCACCATCACATGGTGCTTTATTGTCAGGTGTGATCCTATTCCTGCCAGTTTGTGCCCTCAGTTTAAAAAAATGAATCGGAAATATGTCGTCCGAGGGCTGATCAATCGTCAAACGAATGAAAATAAATCAAGAGCAATCAAAGCGAGCCCTAATTGTTGCCTGTCTCTATTTCTTCAGAGCCATTTCAATGTTCTGTTTACATTTGCAGATAACATGCTGCAATGCATTTTTTCACCTCCTCATGCTAAGGAAACCGTTGACCATATTGATCTGTTTTCTGTGTTGGAATGGCTTTTACTAACCTTCTCAAATTATAATTCATTGATTATCTACTTGTATCTACCCTCCGTTGCCTCAGCTTGTACAGACCACCTTTAAAAAGCCACCAGCATTTAAGCTAACTCATCGAACCCTTGGTAATATTCATGCGGAGAGAGCATTCAGGATATTCAGACAGGTAATCCTGACCATGAAGGTTCCCCTTTACGCCGATGATGTCTTGCTCGTTATTTAAAATCCCCATTTTTCTTTGGCCTTTGTGTTTTCGACATTGAGTCATGGCGGTGTACATCCAGCTCAGCAGGTGTAGGTAAAATATGTTGTAGACATATGCTGCCCACATTGACCTTCTGTCTGCCAAGAGAGACATTATGGTCTCTGTTGGCACGCCATTATCAACAGAACACAGTGGATAAAGTAATGATTAAAGTAAACAATGGTTCTCAATGAGCAAGACACAGATAATCAGAGCATTTTGAAGTTGTTCAGTTCTAGTTTATCATCCATCATTTACTAGGCAAACTCATTCTTTGGGTGAGACCATTTGCACAGTTACATTGGGTGGTATGATTGTTAAAGGTGTCATTTTGACATGATTAAGTTATCAATAGAATGCTCCAAAATAAAAAAAGCTCAGCTCCTTCAATGAACAGTGAATGGTTGGACAGGCAAAATATTTGCCATTATATGTGGAGGCATGTTTATGCAGCATGGACTGTACAAAATATACAAGCGATGTTTTTCCAACGCATCAAACAATCAATGTTTTTTTTTTAGCCAAACCACAAAGTGGCAGTTTGTGGTCCAGTTGGGGATGATTTTAATTAACATTAACAACTAACATTAATTTTGTTTTATTCCACTTAAAGATAAATTTCTGTGCTCTGCTACCTTAAGTTACATCTTCAACAATATGGAGTAAACCGGAAATATATATTAAGACTTGTGAGGTTTCAAATGTGTGAATATATCTACCATTTTATTTTGTGTGTTGTTTTTGTTTTTTCCCCACCTGGTATCAGTTTGGAGGATTTCTGGGACTGAGTTCTGAATCTGTAATTTTGTTTTAAAATTAAAATAAGACTGGGTGTGAAAAAATGCTTCATACTGGATATTAATTTTTCTGTATTCTGTCAGGATATTTACTTAGAACATGACTTAAATGAATGTTGTCTACCGATTGGAGATCACGTTGGTTTGATGTGGGGGTCGTAATCAGTCATGAGAAAACAACTGACCGCAATGCAAATTAGAACTGCAGTCAATGAGATCAGGGTTATTATTGTGCTTTGTTCACACTGCAATTTTCAACGATGACAAAGACCTACTTCAGTATTTTTCTTTTTTTAAAAAGCTAACACTTATCCTGATACCCTGTGGGTTTTAGTTTGAGGTTACAAAAGGAGTTTTTTTTTTGTAGTTGTAATACCTAAATGAGAATAGAGAAAATGGTAACGTAAACTGGGTTACAAATTGGCGAAGTTGCGAACTGACCCTCAGAAAAATTGCAAAAAAAAAAAAAAAGAAGATTTAAACTGCCATTTGAACCTCTAAGTGTTTTCCTTGTTGTTCTGACTGCAGCGTGCGCGTGACGTTGTTGTGTGTTTGCAGGGATCAGGTGTACCTCGTCAGTCTGAGAGAATCCTACAGGAATGAGATCATTTCTTACCGGGTAAGATTCCCGCCACAAGCTGCTTTCTCAATGCACAAACTCTGAAAGGGCTCCTCAGAAAATACTGAGCAATTTATCACAAACCAGACAGGTTGTAAAATGAGAGTGGAAAAACGGAGGTGGTGGGGGGGAGAGAGAGAGAGAGGGAGGCTGTATCTGAGTGCAAGTCTGTGCATTTTGTTTGACATGCACATGTCTAATACGCTATGTGTGTCTTTACAGAAGTTAACATGGCGGTCGGGCCAAGGTGACAGAGAGATGTGTGCTGTGAAGGGAAAACATAGAGTAAGTATGGAGAACAAACAAGGGACTTGACAAAGTGTCCACTGTGAGGAAAGAAGCGGGTGGATTTTTATTATGTGTGTGTGTGTGTGTGTGTGTGTGTGTGTGTGTTTGTTTCCAGGACGAGTGCCACAACTTTATTAAAGTGCTGGTTCCCAGAAATGATGACCTGGTGTTCATCTGTGGCACCAATGGCTTCAACCCCATGTGCAGATACTACAGGGTCAGTGGACCGGGGCGATTTCAGCTTTTCTTTTTTTGAAACGCGCTCAGCCGCACAAATTTGACTGATTTATGTAGCCGCTTAGATGTGGCTGTGTTTCCGCTGAGTCTCCTCTGATGTGTGGGTGATCTCTGTGTTTCCTTCAGCTGGATAACCTCGAGTTTGACGGGGAAGAGATCAATGGTTTGGCGCGGTGCCCGTTTGACGCCAAGCAAACCAACGTGGCCCTGTTCGCTGGTACGGGTCGAACACACACGCCGCGCGTATATGTAGTCTTGCAGGAGAACAACTGATGCGTTTTTACTTATGTTCTCATTATCACCTCTGTGTCTTTGCCACGGTAAAACTTGCCTGCAGCGATAACAACTCAGCCAATTAAGTGTTGTAAAAGGAAAAAGCAGCGAGAAGCAGTGGTATCTGTTCTTTCTACTCTTTGTGACCGTTTTATGTATTTGTTTTTGGCTTCCTAGAGGGAAAGCTGTATTCTGCAACAGTCGCCGACTTCCAGGCCAGTGATTCTGTCATCTACCGTAGTATGGGAGACGGATCAGCACTGAGAACCATCAAATACGACTCCAAATGGCTGAAAGGTGAGCAAATGGCCCTTTCTGTGCTTTCCAATTGGACGGAGCAGTACAGATGGATGTCAGCCAATTAGAATAAAGTAAAAAAAAGTTCAACTTAACACATGTGGATTCCTTCACACAGTGGGTGAACATTTCAAGCCTTCATTTCTATTCACTTTGACGATTGCATCTTACACCTTACATTAAGCCAGAAAAAATAACCTTAATACAAAAATGTCAGTCCACTAGATGGTTTGTCGGCTGCTGGAAACCAAAATGGCAGATGATCAACTTTTGACTCTGCTGAGTTGTTAAGGAGAGTCACTTTGTTGGCATCTGTAAAAATTTACTCTGATTTTAAAATTGGTCTTTGGACGACAATACTCCAGTTATCCATTTAATGTACTGATTTGAACTTGAAATGCAAATGAGACCATTTTTTTAGCTGAGGTTTCTTGCACGCCAAGCTTTTTCACTAATCTACTTTCCACACATGCTTGTTTTATGAAGTCCTCTACAAGTCCATTTCACAATTTACGACACAGTTGCCAGAAATCTCATTGTGTAGCCAATGCATGAGGAGGTTTATTAACCCGCCATGAGGACGAACAGATTCGTCTCCTGGTTGATCATGTTTGGTTGGGCTCCATAAAGTGCCGTTTCTCTGATCAACCAGAAAGATGTAAAAACTCCTCGTGTAAAATCTGAACTGGACTGTATGAATAAAAATCAAATTCTAAACTAAATCCCTTAAAGGGAAGGTGATTCATGTCACTGGCTGTTTTTCAACCAAGTCTTGAGAATATTGTTGCAGAGGAGGAAACATTTCCAGCAGAACTATAGTACCGTATCATTTAATAATAAAAAAAAAAAGCCATCCGTCACTCTGAATCCTTGTCTGGAAATACATGCATCTACCTGCCAAAAAAACGAAATGCCCACAGTGCCTTAGCATGTACGTACGTGACTGTCAGAGCTGTTTTTGGAGTGATGGAGAGCTTTCCTGCCTTGCCAAGCTTCACGGGAATATGGCCTGTTCTCTCCCAGGCAATCTAGGTCACCCCTGTCATATACGGCCTTGTACAAATCTCTGAAATATTCAACATGCACAGCAGTGGTGACGGTGCAGAAATACACTTTAACTCTCTGCCTGTGTCTCCTCCCCCCCTCTCTCTCCCTCTCTCTCTACCCCTCAGAACCTCATTTCCTGCATGCAGCCGAGTTTGGGAATTACGTGTACTTTTTCTACCGGGAGATCGCCGTGGAACACAGCAATCTGGGAAAGGTAAGACAAGTGCAACCTCTGATCTAAACACCATGGATGTTCCTCCAAAACACAGCATGCAGGACTTCCCTGCGTTAGTGGATGGGTTAGAATTGCTGCGATAAATGAGCCGTAGTGCTGATGGGAAGACGGCTATAAACCACATCCCAGCTCAAAGGGAAATTTCGACATCCAGCGTTTACTGGGAATGGCTTCCAAATGTAAGGCCATTACACAGTAAAAGGATTTACCCGCTACAGGCTTCGTATTTTGTATCTCCCTCACACTCCAACAAACACAGTCATGTAACGGGAATTAGGACGGTCCACGTTCAAGACCAGCTTTGCGTTTGACCACACCTCACCCTGGGTTGGGCCACAGGAAGCCAGCGTCTTCCATCAGCCACTAGCTACTAAATATTTTACCTGTACTAATGCTGGGGTGACACCTGGCTTCTGATGGAGGTTTGCACTGGTGAATTATTAAAAGCGTCTAAGCCGACTGCTTCATTTACCTCATATGTCCTCTCTGTCCCTGTAATATGTGCAATCAGACGCACTTTCGCACAATGCTGCAGAGAGTTAAACAATTTCTTTTTGCGTTTGTTTCATTCGGGGCGAACAATCTCCTCACACGGAGTTAAATACGAGTTGTGTGTGTGTGTTAAGTGATTTGTGCCGAGTTGCTACAGGATGGAGTTATTTATTATTCAAGAACCTGAAGTGTTTTTAGTGACACTCACGGAGATGCCTTCCTCTTCCGCTCGCCTCAGTCCTCTCTCCAACCGTCTTTTATCGCCCCCCTTCCTCCCCTCCCCGCAGGTTGTTTATTCCCGAGTGGCCCGGATCTGCAAAAATGACGTCGGCGGGTCGCAGCGAGTGCTGGAGAAGCACTGGACCTCTTTCGTGAAGGCGAGGCTGAACTGCTCTGTGCCGGGGGAGTCCTTCTTCTACTTCGACGTGCTTCAGTCCATCACCGACATCATCGACGTCAACGGCGTTCCCTCCGTGGTGGGCGTTTTCACCACACAGATGAACAGGTGAGCCACAGAGGGAGGATTCTTGGGATGCGCGTGTCTTCAAATATCCCTATTCACTGGTGTCGTATCCCTTCCGCAGCATTCCGGGGTCAGCGGTGTGTGCCTTCTCCATGACTGACATAGAGAAAGTGTTCATGGGCCGGTTCAAGGAGCAGAAGACCCCCGACTCTGTGTGGACACCGTTTCCAGAGGAGAAGCTGCCAAAACCTCGGTTAGAATCTTAACTCGAGGCAATACGCCGACCGCTCGATACACAATCCCAACAGGGAACGGGCATGCGCAGTAAAGTGGTTAAAGCGCATTATGAGTTACTGAACTCTTTTTTTTTTTTTTTTGAGCAGCAGCTGTTAACCACCTCAATTTTCCTCTTTCTTAATCCTTCTTTGTCATGGTTAAACCCAGTGAAATCAAATCTTTTTCACAAGCCAGCCACCAGGTTATTAGCTTTGACCCAGCACACACACTTGCCATCTGCTGGTGATTAAATTATTAATTTGGCATAATTAAATGCATTGAATATTTAGCTAGTTTAGTGTTGGCACTTATATCGGCAGCCATGCCCTGCGTCCAAAACACAAAGTCCGCGCTGCACCTCATTACTCCTGTAAATCATTGATGAGGGATAATCATGCATATGTATATTTTATGTTTCCAGCTGAGGTCTTTTCCATACTCCAAAAGACACCTGCTACTCCCCCCGCCCCCTCCCTAAACTGTCCCAGCGCTTTTCATTCATTTCATTGAATGTTATAATTGCTCCTTGGTGTTTGACGGTATAGGCCCGATCTTTGACCTTTTGCCCTCTGTGCGTGCGCACTCTCCATATCTTAGGCCTGGGAGTTGTGCAGGTCACGGTCCGGCTGCGTCCTTTAAGAGCTCTGTGGAGTTTCCAGACGACACCCTGCAGTTCATCAAGTCCCACCCTCTTATGGACACAGCTGTGCCTTCGATTGGGGACGAGCCTTGGTTCACCAAAACACGTGTCCGGTAAGCATACATGGGAAAAACATCTGTCGATGGAAACACAAGACCTGACGCACAAATTTATGGGTGTATGTGTCAGCATGATTTGCAGTACTGTTCCAAGCTTTTTATGTCATTACTGACATGTTTATATGTCACTTTGGTGGATACAGGCTTCCTTTAACCTGTTTGAAACCTAAAATGGTTTTCTAGTTTTTTTTTCTTCCTTTTTTTTTTTTACGCCGTCCATGTTATGACTATTTTTAGAGGGAACCAACGGTTTCTAAATCAAAAAGAAAAACAGTGGTTATCTATGTACATAACAGTCTCACATTAGGATAAACTACGTGTAGTTTAGATGGCTGTGGGAAAAGAACGTGCCTCTTTAGCAAGGCAGGTTTGTGTTGATCTTCATTAGTAATGGACATATGCTCACCAAAATATCTATACTGAAAAGCAATATTTTCAAAATCTAAAACAACCTGAACTGTCATGAACACGGAACAGACATGAAACATGCACAAAAGACAAACCTTAAACAAAGTTTATCCAACGTGTTTTCCAGTTTACATTTTTTACTTACAAATACTGGGGAGTTAATAATTGATTCTTAGCATTTTACTTTCTGGCATTTGAAAGTTTGGTTTAAGCCTACAGAGTTGAAGGTGAATATTATTTAGATGTATAATAATTTCCCTGATGTTTCTCTGCTACTCATGAAGGTACCGACTAACAGCGCTGGCTGTAGACGGCCAAGCAGGACCCCACAAGAACTACACGGTGGTCTTCGTCGGCGCCGAGTCAGGGGTCGTCCTTAAGGTCTTGGCGAAGACTTCCCTTCTCTCCCTGAATGAGAGTCTGTTGCTGGAGGAGATCGATGTCTTCAACAGGGCCAAGTAGGTCTACATTAACCTCCTTCCATCTCTGCATTTGCTTTTCCTCCTCTGTTTCTCTTCCCCTTTGTATCTTTCGGTTGGTGAGTCAGCAACTCTCAAAATAAAAGCGCCCGGCACACATGGCAGCATCTGCCTGCCTGCTTTCTCCACAATTGCACTGCAACTGATTATTTATCTGTCGAAGCGTCACATGTTGAAGATTAAACCGCTGTTAGGCTTGGAGAAAAAGTTACACCTTGAGTGTCTCCATCTACTGTCACTGAGAGGATTGAGTTTGCTGACAGGTTTCTGTCGTCTCCTTCCAGGTGCCCGTCTAACCGCGAGGATGACAAGCGTGTCCTCTCGCTTCATGTGGACAATAACACACACAGCCTTTACGTTGCCTTTTCAAGCTGTGTCATCCGTATTCCCCTGAGTCGCTGTGAAAGGCACTCCTCCTGCCAAAAGTAAGCGAGACCGTACTCACTGCATGGGGTTGTACTGTCGCTCATCGGTGTTTGACCTTATTCGAGGCGTTTTTCACGTAAACATCATAAAGGGCATCACGGCGGTTTGTCCTGAGGCGGCCGTATGGTTAATGTTCAGTCAGTCACAAATGATAACGATGTTCTTTCCATAATCATTAAGCCTGTTTTTGACTGTGTTTGTGCGCCAGGTCATGCATTGCATCGAGAGATCCTTACTGTGGCTGGAAGCCTCATGGAGCCTGTGAGAGGATACAGCCTGGTGTTTTGTGAGTTCAAGCTCCGGTTGCCAAAAAAACAAACAAAAAAACATACCAAACATGAGAAAACAAGACTGCATGAGGCGTTTGCAACTTTTTAAATAACAGCCAAGTTTTTCCCTTTGTGTTTTCAGGAAAGGATACGAACAGGATGTTGAATATGGAAATACCACTCACCTTGGAGACTGTCAAGGTACGACTCCCATCCCCATGCCGTGCCATTGATCCTGCAACGCGGACAAACACATTCAGTTCTGCTCACTCTTATACACACACTGTACACAAATGAAACACAAACCCATCTCTGCATACACCATAAGCCTGCACACTCACAACCAGTAACCACTCCAGTAACTTTGCCCCTTACATGTATTCGCAGTATTAACACACACATCTACATACAGTACATGGCCACCTGTAACTATGGGTGCTTGCAAGGCCCACACATGGACATGTACAATTGAAAGGTCATGCTTAGCTTATGCAAATGACGGAAGTCTTATTTTATTTTACGAGCGGACAATTATAAGCCTAAGGAATCTACACTTAAATGCAATTTTCTCCTCATGTGTATTGGCTAAACATGACCAAGACTGAACCTCAGTATTGATCAGAACCAGAGGGCATCCAGTCAGAATAAAATGTATATAAAAAAAAACACTGCTAGGAAGCTAAATATATTAGTTGTCAAAGCAGGTTTTACGCGTTCAGTTTTATTTTTTACCTCTGAATTCCCTTATAATGATTTCTTGTCCTTTTAATTCTTTTTAGTGTTTTTGGGCACTACCTCAGCGCCAGATTACAAATCATTTGGCGACCCTACCTCTGGTTAGTTTGATCTTTTACTCAACTGGTTTCTTTCCTCGAGTTCAGCATTTCCCACCCTTATTCTTTCCATCCTTGCTACTTTTCATCTCTTGTTCCAAAACAACTACTGAATGCTAACACTTCATTTTTCACCGTCACAAACAAAGTAGACCACATAGGTGCTCTAACCACAGCACAGAACCACTCATAGCATCACTCCCTTTCCTGATTCATCCATCTTCTCTTATGCATGCCAACCGCTCAGCTCTTAGCATCCGTAATGTTGTGTACCAACTCCTCTAGACACTTGAATCCAATATTTTTCTTCTTGTTTAGAATATTCAATGATGCACTGTTTTGGCTCTGTAAATGTTTTTTGTTTTGTTCTGTTTTTTTTGTTGTTGTTTTTTTTAAAGTTTTTTTTCTCTCACAAATGCTCTGCTCATGCCTACTAATTGGGATAACAGTATGCTTTACACTCCTGCACAATTTGTTAACCGTTTGTTTGTCACCACAGACATGGCGTTTTCATCTGCACCAGTCACTGTCCAACCCAGTGGGCCCATACAGCCCCCAGTACTCATACCCAGTCAAAGCCCCAGCTCAGGGCCTCGTCCAGAGCTCTACGGCTCAGGCTTTGTGCTACAGGATGACCCAGCCACATCCCATTCTTTAAACTCTCTCCCAGGGGGGCCAGAGGGTAAGGCTCCTAGGGAGGCCAAACACGCTGCGTTACAGCTGGTCTATTAGTTACCAGCAAGAAGCGTCTTTCATATCTATTGGCAACCTTGGTAGAGATAGATTGAAAGCCTTAAAAATGCCTTAGCTTTTAGACTACATTTGACTACATTTATTCAGTGTTATCAAATTACCGTTTTTGCTGAATACCCAGTGTCACATCTTACACAAAAATCCTATTAAATAAATGTTTTTTTTTTTTTGTGTGTATTATGCGTATAAATATATGCATATATGTTGGGTTCATGAATATGCCTATTCTTAAATAAAGTAAATAAATGTAACCAAATCAGTTGTTTTTATTTATACTTTTATTGAGTGGATAATAAAATTTAGAAGTATTTAAAGGGTAATCCACGACCTGGGGTATAAATATTACATGACACACAACCCCTTTTTTCTCAGACATTTTTCTGAATGGAACGTACACGAGAGTGTCTTTAAAGCCAGGCAATTTTGTGTTGACCTTAATAAGTCAGCAAATGGCTGTAAAAGATACTTATCTAAATCCACAGTTAGAGCAATATTTCAGCTAGAAAAAGGCTGAAAAACATACAAAATCTAAACCCTCCTGTTTGAATATTGCAAAAAACAAGAACAGCATATGTCTCAGCAAATGTCTCCATAACATGTGTTTCCATGTTTTTTTGCTGTTTTCGTTGTCTTTACCCGGGGTGCCAATAATTGTGGAGAGCACTTAATGCACAGAATTTGTACATTATTTGTGTTGCTTTTGTCTGTTATAGTTGTGTCATCACTTTCATTTTCTTTGTTTCTTGTCAAGTTATTTACTTCCTATCATCTCCGCTATCCTTCATTGTTGTCTGTTTTAAGACCTTCTTTCTTTGTTTGTTTCTATCTTTTTTTTCTAGAAATCTTTTAGCTAGCTTTAGTGACAGTTTATCCTGGCTGGTAGATAATTGACTGGGCCTCCTGTGCCACACCACTGCTGTGGCTGTACAGTGGATGACTAACCCCCTTCCGTGTCTGTGGTTACTAACAAACCTTGTGTAGAGCAGAAGCTTCCTGAATGCTCTGAATGCAAACATTGCATCTCTATTCTCCAACCAAGATCCTGCTGCAAAAAAAAAAAAAAAGTCAATTTGGCGCCATCTCAGATAAGAGAGCACTCTTTTTCCTGTTGATGCTTAGAAGCATGTTCGCCTCTTGTCGAATGCTGGTCAAGTCAACTCTTTTGAACTAACGGTGCTTCCTGTAGATGGTGAAATGGATGCGGGTACAGAGCAGTGGCTGCCAAATTTCACCATATGTGTCCTTTATCTGTGCTTTACTAGTTTGAAGAATTTGAAAGTAGTTGACTTGCATGTAGGTGCTTTATATGGGAGAAGCGTAAAAGTGAAAAATCCAGCATGATTTTTTTTTACACACAAACATTTCTTCTGGTATATGGTGAAGTATGTGTCATTCAATAACCCCAATGGCAAGTGTATTCGTTGAGGTGTTAACCATTGTATCACTGTATTGTAGGTGTATGGGATATCCGTACTGGTGACAGTAACCAGATGGTCCACATGAACATCCTCATCACCTGCGTCTTCGCTGCTTTTCTGATGGGGGCTCTCCTGGCTGGGCTGATCGTTTTCTGCTATCGAGACTCTGTCCTTCGTAAACCAAGGCACGTCCACAAGGACATGGAGTCTGCACCGTCCTGCTCTGACTCAACTGGGAGTTTTGTCAAGCTCAATGGCCTATTTGACAGCCCTGTAAAGGTACAACTAGAAAAAGTAATTTATCCTTCAACATGTGTTGGCAACAAGTACCTAAAAGTTAAGCAAAGCTGTGTCTTATCTTACTGTTTCCTTTACTTTTATGTTCTTAGGAATACCAAACCAACATCGATTCTCCAAAGCTGTTCACCAATCTGCTGAGCAATGGTAAAGACTTGAGTACGCCCAATGGTGACACCAAGACAATGATTCTGCGGGATGGCTGTCAGCCCCCAGAACTGGCTGCTCTACCCACTCCAGAGTCCACTCCTGTACTTCAGCAGAAAAGCCTGCAGCCCATCAAGAACCAGTGGGAAAAGGCTCACGGAAAGGTCAGCGGGCCCCGTAAGGAAGCCAACCCATCAGCAAAGAGTCCACAGTTTCTTTCTTCTTCACCTGCACCTGCGAATACAAGTTCCAACCACCCTCACATTGCCCTGGGACACTCCCACATCCCCAGTGCAGTTGTGCTGCCCAATGCTACACATGACCAGCCTAACCTTGACCATGGCGATGAAACTTTGCCACATTCTTCTGAAAAGCAACTGAAGATTCCAGATTGTAAAGGAAACAGGAAAGATCAGAAGAGGTCTGTGGATGCCAGGAATACCCTGAATGACCTTTTAAAACATCTTAATGACTCTGTGGCCAACCCAAAGGCCATTCTTCAAGAAGAATCAGGGCCTCGCCCAAGGCCTCATCTCATGCTGGAGCCAATGGAGGAGCTGACTGAAGTACCCCCAGCTGTGCCCAGCCGTGAAGCTTCCTTGTACTCTCCCTCCTCCTCTCTACCAAGGCACAGCCCCACTAAAAGGGTCGATGTGCCCCTGCCCTCCACTCCCACTACACCCACGGGAAGCCTAAGCATGGGTGGGACCCTTGAGAGGCAAAGAGGAGGTTACCAACTCCACCGGAGTGCCTCTCACAGGCAGTCCTTATCGACCTCACCAAATGGAGTAACCATGGGGGTGTCTGTGTCTCGCCAGCACAGTATGAACATAGGGGGATACATGCCCCCAACACCCCCTTCTAGACTTGACTCCCATGGTGCAATGGTGGCACCGGGGATGCACTCGCCCCACACACCTTCTGTTTCTCGACAGAGCAGCTACAGTGGGCATGGCTCGCTTCCCCGAACAGGGCTTAAAAGGACCCCATCATTAAAGCCAGATGTGCCCCCAAAACCCAATGGGTTTCCTCCACAGACTCCACAGATGCGAGTGGTCAACAAGTACAGTTATTAACATGGACAACCATGGACATTTCTAAGCAGGCTCTTGGTCTGTAGAGCTTTGTGCTCAAGGGCTTGGGGTGTCTGGATGGGATAAGGCCTTGTGTGTGTTTGTGTATCAACTTGAGGTGTTTCAATGCTCTTCAAATGGCATGTGCATTACACTTGCACTGGAAAGGGGAAACACCACATGGCCAAAGAAACCTACTGGGCCTCCCTCCAACCCCAACTGCTTCCCTGCACCCAGTAGCCACATGGAAATGAATAGCAGACAATGGTGAATTTGCTGCTCACCATTGTTCCTGGGTTTTGGTGCCACCTGTTCCAATGTAAGGTACAAGGTTTAGGGCATCCTCAACAGGCCAGTCTGGCACACGTGCGTGGGCAAAAGTGGTAGAATACTTGAAGAATGGTTCTCAATTGTCACTGCCCTTGAGCACTGTTTTCCCACTAATGTGAACTGATCAGAGGAGAGGTAGGCAATGACTATGGTTGTGATATGCCTGGGGAAATAAAGAAAGTTAATATTCATTGTGTGCGTTCTGCTTTAGCAACTAAATTGAATAGCAGGCAAGGTGAAAAAGGATGTGAATGCTTGAATGTGTCTCGGTCGACCAGAGAAGCAGCTTTCTGAAAAAGTAACGCATATATTTGGTCTTGAGTTTCCACATGCCAGTGAAAGCACCTTAAGATGTGTTGAGGACTTGAGTCACTGTCTTTTATTCCAACATTATAATCTGAATCGAGGATGCATCCATTTTTGTGTCACACACTAATGATCAAATGGTTGGGTCGGGTTGAAGTTGCTTATGTTGGGTGTGTGCTGAAAGCAGGGACTCTGTTACTCACTGGGAAATCTTACTTCTTGACATTTGCTGCTATGGGTTTTAGACAGAGCATTCGTCATTAATGCATTGTTTCCTCAACCAATGCTAGGACAGCTGATATGGGCGTGGACACTTGCTTGTTGTGTCTGAGTATGTGTGTTATACTGTAAACAGAGGTGGAAAAGTACAGATCAACAACACACTGTCAAGACTAGAACATTGGACAGAATGTTTTTCTCCAGGACTGAAATGTATCCTTTTCTTAATTGCCCATGTCTAGGAGTTCTACTGGTCTCCTCTCATTAGTAGTAGTATTAAAAATACATAATATCGTCCCGCTTTTGAAATACTTTTAAACGTTATTTTCAAGTGTTTCTTGTCCCTCATTAAATGTACCACTGTGAAAGTAGCAAAGGAATTTTATACAATGTTGACATTTCAGTCTATTTCTGTTCTCTTAGACTTCTGCCCCCTAATAACACAAGGCTGCCAGGAGTTTGCCCCTGCAATAAACCTAAAGAAGAAAAACAAATCTGAACTCAGTACAGTGCAACAACATAATATTCTTGTCATGTGCTCCACAGCCTGGGTTTCTAGTGCAGGTTTTTTCTGCAGAAGGCCAGTGTACAATCAACACAACATTCACTAATGTGTCCAAATAAGTCATGCTGGGAATGACAAGGTCCTGTATATACTTAAATAATATAAATAAAGGGTATAAATATTTTTAGGCAACTGAACCTGAATCTGTGCATTGTGTGCCTTATCAACAAAACAAATTAGTACAGTATGTATTGTTGGGAATGTCAATTGGTTCTCTGTATGTGTCACATGTTCTGCAAATGTTTTTATACAAGCAATTTGAAATTTAGCAGGATGTCTGTCAAAAAAAAAAAAGTTTCTAACTAATTCCACTTGGGAGTTTAAGTCCCCCGAGAAGGACGGTGAAAAATACTTATTGGGTTCAAATCATTTATTCCCTTTTACTGCCAGTGTTGCGAAGATTTGTGATATTCCACGACAAAAAGTGGTGCCATGCAGTGAATGTACTTTCATAACTACGGGATGCAGGGGCGGTCAAGACATTGCACTGTTGAGTGGAAGGCTTAACGCAGCCCGTCCTGCTCGCAGCCAATGTATTAACACAGTATTCAAATGTTCAGATGAAAGCTGTCCCTTGGCATAGCCGGCAGTGGTGCAGATTCCGTAATTCCCGAGACATGTTGGGAAGGGGATTGTTTCTGTTTGCCAGAAAGGACGATTTGGGGGGATCATTTCTTGTAGCAGTGGGTACATGATTTGGGGGTCTTTTTCGGTTTTTTTTTTTTTTTTTTTTTTTTTTTTTTGAGTGTCAGTTGCCTGTTTAGCCCAAAGCCACGTTTTGTTTACAAGTGATGATTGTATGTAGAGGCTTTCTGCCCGTCATCTAACCAGTGTTTATGCTCTGTTTTCTACTCAACACATGCACACTGACATCACAGACATGCACTCATCAAACACTGCTCTACTGCCTTGTACATTGCAATATGACCTGGGTCTTTTCGTTGCAATCCAAACTGAAGCCTTTATATTTCAGTCAGACTTTAATGTATGTGCAGATGAAACATTATCTCACGTATGTTTGTTTTAAATACTGTGCATAATGGCTATGCACAGCCAGCTGTATATTTTATCTCCAGAGTATTTGGGCGTGTAGATATGTTGTAAAGTTGTACTGTGAATGTGTAAATAATGTTTTTTTTTTGTTTGTTTCATGTTTGTTTTGTTTTGTTTTTTTTAACACGGCACGTATAGTTGAAATAAAATATTACTGCACAGAAATTGTTTCTCTGTGTTGTTTTTCAGCCAACAGAATTAAAAATAAAAATTGCGTTTATTAAAAAAAAATAAATGCCAATAATGCATCTGATCCTTAAGAGTCTGACATGGGAACCGTAATGTGTATCGGTTTGTTACTGCATGAAAATGAGAGACTAGTTCTTTGTCTCAGTTGGTTTCTGCGAGCCAGTCAGACACACGAGTGAGGAACGATTAAAAGCCTATTTTTAGATGTTGGCTGTTTTGATATTTGAGGTCAGCACAGAGTTGGCCACACAACACAGCATGTGGGAAATACTCCAAAGTAATATGTTCTTCTACTCCCCAAACATCTGGACAAACTACTTCTTAGGGCCTAAGATCTAAGCCCCAAAATGAGTTGTGGAGGAACAGCGGTCATTTCAGATGCATGTTCTGATATTAAACAGGCATGATTTTACAGAGTTAATAAGAAGACCTCTGAACAGTCATAAAAAAAAGAGCAAGATGAGTGAATGATGATTATTTTTCCATATATCCACACCGAGTGAATTGAAAATGATCCAACTGTCCTCGAATATATTTATACACACCAACATTTAGTACACAGACATATCTGCATCAATTCAAACATCTGAATATATATTTGTTCATAAGTGATCTGAGACACAGGAGTAAAGTGCTGCCGTACTGAGGAGACACTGAATGAAGTCTCATTTCTCGCAACCCTCCAACACTCACACAGATTTTATAACTATGTTTACTTTTGTGCCAAAGAAAGAATCAAAATCTGTGTACACCTTAAAAATCACACAAAACTTAAAGCCCTATCCAAGATAACTGCTATGAATATTAGTCAAAAACAAAAGACTTTTTCTGACGAGTGGATGCAAATGTGGTGTAGAAGATAAATCGCACAGGAGTATCGTTCGTATTTTCCTTCAGAGTGGAGCAGTAAGCTTCACCACTCAGAAGTGAACACATCTATTGTTGAAACATAATCTCCAAAATGTTGAGAGCAGGTTAGTGTGCTCTGTGAAATAATTGTACTTATAGAAAACCTGAAATATTTAAAACACCTCATAACATAAGAACATTTTTTTATTTTAAAACAAGAGACTACTTAATCTTGTGGTGATTAAGACTAAACCTAAAGGTAGATCTCCAGTTTGCTTCCCTGAAATTTCCGCCAAAAATTAACTAACCTTAAACCCTCCCTTAAATCCTCTCTTGAACTATTTGTTGTCTGGACTTTTACTGCCAGTGTCATTTATGTAAACTAATAGATGCCGACACTTTTGTTCCTCTGTCTTCCTCATTATGGTTGTTGGAGAGCATAATGAGGACGAAGGAAAAAAAAATAAAAATACTCCCCGGATGAAAATGGAACGACATGATTTTCAGCAATTAAATTATAACCGATAATAATAATTTCACAGCAACTGACAGTGAAACTGATACAGAGTGACTGTATAGTCTGTGCAAAGGTTTTAATTGCAGAGGGCAGATGAATGAAAATGACAGTCGGAATTACGGCAACCTGATTTTTGAGTTACCGCCTGGCTTCTGAATTCTTTACAGCAATTATGCTCTGAAACCAAACAAGAATCCCTTCATAAACAGAAGGAACATGCTACCTTATCACATTTGTATTAAATTAGGCTGGACATGTCACTAAATGGTTGTGCATATGCAGCGTGCCCGGTCTGCTTCAATATCAACACCTGCTAACAATCTGTTTTCTTTTTTAGTTTGTTTCTCTTTGATATGTGTAATCATTGAACTGAACCCGTTAATAAAGCTTTGATTGACTGAATCCAGATTTACGACAGGTTGTTTTTGTTTTATATGACTTTTTTTCTCTGGGTTTCCACAGACAACTGACACCAGCAGCTGGTTATTTAAGACCTATGCAACTGAAGTTGACAAAAACAAACATGTGATTTGGAACAATTTAAACTCTTCCAAAGTTAAAACAGCCTCTATGAAAAACGCTATCTAGGTAACTCTGTGAATGTCTTAAATTTCTTTTGACCTTGCAGTCATCATAATTCAGCTTCACATGGTAAAAATTATGGCTATAATATCTCTGCAAATCAGTGACGTGCGGTGAGGTTCATTGCTGGTGAGGCACTGACTTACGACTTATATAGACACCATGCATGTTATTGGACGTACGGGAATTTCGCGCAGGACTACAACGCTGGGGGGCAAACAGACTAATCTTTTACATGTCATCCATAGCCGCGTTAACTCAGCGAAACTTAGAAATGTAGGTATTAATTTCGTGCTATGATCCACAGCAAAGTGAAAGAGGTATTCGCCACGCTAGACGCAGACTCGTTGCCATAGCAACTGACAACAATGCCGTTTCATGTTTTAGGATTTAACACCAAAAAAACATTCAAGAATTTTGCGCACAGAACAGAATATTCAGTATGTTGTTGTAGTACGCTTTAGGCTTAATATTTTATTAATAAATGATTGCTGTGGTAGATTAGCTACCGCTTCTACTTTACTGAATTACCTAGACATACAAACTGCAGCCCACACAATGTACATTTTAATAAAAAACTAAACAAAAACATCTTATTGCTGTCTTACCTTTACCTATCAATGAAATCCAGGCACCACTAATTCTGCACAAAAATATCCGTTCATCCAAAGCCAAGTCTATTCTCGGCAAGTCTTTTCTACTCCGTTTGAGAATCATCAAACTGTCTTGAAGCAAAACTTTCAGTTCCGGTGTTGGTCTTCCTTTAGTTATTATCTCCTGGTTCAACTGAAAATCCACTTTAGAAAACTGTTTAAGTGTAGAAATTTAGTCTTTCATGTTGACGTCGGAAGAGAGGAGAAAACAAATCGCTGTACTTTACTTATTTACTGTATGGCTAGCTCCATGGCTAGCTCACTGTGTCTTTCTCTGCAGTTGTGGAGTCACAATATCTGGGATCATGAGCGCCCCCTGCCATGAGGCAGGAGAACTGCCTGCCTCCCCTGGAGTCTGTTCTCTGCCGTTTCTGATCGCTCCTCCGCACACAAAACACGTTACAAACACAGTTGGTGACAAAAAAAACACTGTACATTATATACATAAGCTAAATTATGGAAAATCAGTCCATATATTAAATGTTTTTTAGCCATTTTATTGCCGGCGTACAGACAGGACGAACTTGCTCCCATAGAATGGCAGCCAGTGCAGTTGAGAGGTTGCAATCCCAGGTGAGGCTCAGCTTCCTGCTGCCTCACCGGCTTCGCTTCTGAGCATTTGAATGGGAAAATGCGAAAATCCAGCGATTTTGAAGAAAAAATAATCAGAACTGGTTAAGCTAGGTAAAAAATAGGTACTTTATAGTACAAACCACAGGGTTTGTACTATAAAGTACAAAGCCAGTACTTTATAGTACTTTATATATTACTATATAATAATATTTTATTATATAGTAATAAAATATAAATGATTTTATTACTATACTTCCATGATAACAGGCCTACCTACCCTGCCTACCCTGACCGCACGTCACTGCTGCAAATCCATGTTAACCAGAACCGTCTCATCTCCTTCTTCGTAAAAAGAAAAATAACACGCAGTCCGCATCAGCAAAAATCCCCATAATGTTTGTCATGGTTCACCTTCATGTGGACTTTGTGACTTTATATAGGTCATAAAATGTTATTGCTGACAGAATTATTGGTTATTGTTTTATTCTAGCTCTTTCACATTCAGGAACTAAGCAAAACACTGTCAAAGATTCCTGCTATTGGAGGAGTGACTCACTTTAAGAAAGAACTTTGAGAAACTGCGAGAAAGAAACAGTGAAATGGAACAAGTTGCACAATCAAAATGCACCTCAACAGGATCGATATCTTGGGTAAATTCTGACCCAGACGATCTTCTTCAGATACTTGGAAACAGTGGAAGAATACGTTACTTCTTGTAGTTGCTAAATCCTTTTAAAAAAATTTATGGAAAGCTTATGGCAGACGATTAAGTTTGCTGTTAAAAATTTGCCGACATTCCTGAAGAGCATACCACATTTTTTTTTTTTTGCATGCTAAAAGGGAAGGCACGGCGTCTTCACAGGAAGCAACCTCAAAGTCAAGCCGTTTTCAAAAATAGCTTGCAAACTAACTCGG